TGAAAGCAGGCAAGACAGCATTGCATGACTTGGGATCTCTGCTTTAAGAGTCTCTGTGGCAAGCACACAGACCTGAACCATGAAAGCTCCACACTTGTGCCTTACTGAAGGAGAGGACAAGCACCCAGCCACCCATCAGCCCCTGGCTGGACAGACAGAGCTCAGCAAGAGCTGAACACTGGCACATGTGGGAGCACAACAAGAGGCACCCAAAGCCACCAGTGACCCCACCAACCCCACGGCTGCACTGTCCAGAGCACAGGGTTCAGGTGGGACAGTCCAGGCTTCCCAAGCAGAGGCTCACCTCATCATCAGCCTTGGGCTTCTCAAAGTAGCTGTGCCTCTTCTTTTCCTCCTCCCGCTCGCGATCACGCTCCCGGTCCCGCTCGCGCTCCCGGTCCCTGTCTCGTTCTCGATCCCTGTCCCGCTCCCGGTCCCTGTCCCGTTCTCTCTCACGGTACCTCTCCCGGTCCTTCTCCCGGGGCATCTTCGCAGTGGAGGGCACATAATCCCCAATGTCTTCAAAGATGCTAGAAGCGGGAAAGAGTGTCCATTATGGGTGCTGCGAGACAGGAAGCCACAACCACCTCCCTTTGAACTGGAGCCTAATAACGGAGCTGTAGCATCAACACCAAGAGCTAAGGACATCCACCAGAACTGGCTTCTATATTTGTCACAGGCATCACTGTGTTTCTGCTCTCTTCTGCTGCCTGGACCTGCTTCTTGTGGTCCAGGACAACAGAGAGCCCTTGCCTGCCTCAAGCCTGAAACAAACAGAACTGAGCTTGCCTCCAGCCTTGTCCTACCAACTGCAGATCTGAATAAGCAGCTCGCTCTACAGACACTAAACCCAGCCCTCTCCAGATGGTGTGGGTCAGAAAGACATTCCTTAAGGCAGAGAGCATGACCCCACAACCTGGAACAGGGAGGCACTTACTTCATATCAGCTTCAGGGGGCTTCTTCTCATCCAGCTTCCCTGCAAGGACACAAGAGCAATGAGAGACACATCATCCACTCTGCCACCGGTACTGCTTTCCTGTCCCCAGTCTGGCTCCCAAGCCCCAAAAGTGGCAGGCCTGGAGGATGTCCTAACTTCCTCTTCAGTTACCACAGCATATCTGGTGCCTTCAGGAAACCATTTTTTCCTTCTCCAAAGCAGGGGACACTTCTCTAAGGAACTTAGGGTCTTAACCAGGTCTTGGGGTCTTAACATCCTGGTCTTAACCAAGAAGAGCAGAGCAGCACAAGGCACCCTCACAGCTAGAATGTCCCAGCTGCCACAGAGCAGCCTGCCTTCAGGACATTTGAAGCGCATGGGGAGCCTTAGGAAATCTCTGTCCTCTGAGTCCATCACCTCAAGGCACAGAAGAAGGCAACAAACCAAAGCACACCTCATTCTTCCAGGATATGCTTTGAGCATTAAGTCCTGCTACTTGGTTCCCCTCAGCTCCTACCTTTGTCTTTCTTCTTGAGCTTCTTGTTGCGGGTCCCTTGCCTGAGATAGGAGAGGATCTGCGTCAGTTTGCTGATGACAATGTCATTGGTGGTCAGCGTGGTCTGTGCCTGAAAGAGAAGTCCCCAAGGATGCATCTGACTCCCTTGAGAGGGAACCCCTCCTGGCAAGACGTGCTCAGGCCAGTTCAGACCCGGGATGCTAGCTGGGTACCTCCATGGTGGGACAGTCAGCCTTGCTGCGGATCAGAGTGGTGGGGATATCGGTGTCTGCATACTCATCATCCAGATCAACCACATAGGCCATCCTGCCCGGCAGGAACAGCTCATTCCGCTCATAGGCCTTGTTCTTGAACAGAATGCGGTAGATGTTGCGACCTGAGGGAGAGGAAAAGGTGTGAGAGAGCAACGGACAAGCCCATAGTGATGCATTTAGTTTATCAGAAATATGACAATTACCTCCTAAGAGACACGTTTCCTCCAGCCCTCAAATTCAGGACATCTGCACCTCAAGCCTTTCCCCCTTCAGTGACTAAAGGTTTTCATTCACCCTCCAGGATTTCTCCCACATTCACACACCACAAAGTGGGGAACAGCCATATCCATCCAGTCTTACCCAGACGGGTCTTGAACTCAATTTTATTCTCAGGATCTTCATCTTTCCTGAACAGAAACAAAAGAAACAAGCATTATGCTAAGCATGTCTCCTCTGCATCCTCCTCTCCAGGAGGCAGCTGAACTCAGGAGTTCAAATCCTCAACCACTCACTTAGTTTCTTTCTGGGGCTTCTCCATCATTTCCTCCTCTTCCTTCTCCTTGCTGGCAATCTCAGCCCGTACCTGACCACAAATAAATCCACATAATCACAGACCAATCCACACCTCTGCTGCCCATCAGAACCAGTAAGCCCAGCCCTTCCACCAGCTCCCCAGTCTTTCAGAGATCCTTCTCAGAAAGAGAAATCCACACTCACAAGATGGAAGCCCCTGTAAGTGGCAGCTACTATCCTCTGCCCATGGGAGTGGGCAGGGCAGAGCAGCAGCACGGTGGTCTCTGTGCTCACCTTCTGCAAGAGCGCAAAGTCCAGACCCTTCACCAAGTGGGTGTGCTCCATGTCACCACCCAAGAACTTGGACTCCTGGATCAGCTGTCTTCTCTTCTCCGCAGCGGATTTATCCCTGTGTGACACAAATGGAGCCAGTTACGAGACCAGCCCCACTGAAGCAACAGTGAGATAAGACCATGCCACAGGCTCACGTACGCCTCTGCCGTCGGGCCCACAGCCCTGTAGTTGGCAGTTGTGCTGATCAGCTCTGTCTCCTCGTAGTCCTTGTTCACACCATCCCTCCTCTCCTTGGCTCGATCCCTGTACTTCTCAGCCAGCTCCCTCTCGCGCTCAATCTCCTGCTGGCGCAGCTTGGCGTAATAGCTGGGTTGGACCAAGAGCTCAGGGTTAGAGACACGGTTGCACTTTTGATGCACCCATCAGGTAACAGCCCCTGAGGCCCCACACATGCTTGTCCTACTCCCAAGCCCTTCCCCAAAACCTTCCTAAAGCACCATGAGACACAACACACCTGGAAGACACCAGACAAGATGAAACTGCTGTATTGAGTCTAACTGAAGAGGAACACAGTCTTCCCTTCTAAAGGGAAGGGGTTAAAGCAGCCCAGCTGTACAGATGTGTCCCAAAACCACTCACCAGTGCAGATGGCCTGCTACTGCCCTGACAGACACCTGCAGAGCCTCTTGTGCTTCTTCCAGATACAAAGTTCCATTCCCACCCTGCTGCTGCATCCCACATCTGCTCCCACAGGCAGTGACAGACACTGAGTTTGAGCGATTCTTACTCTACCTGGCTCAAAACCCCAAAATAACCCAGGCTACTCAGGGTCCTCTTTGGTAGCCCAAGAGCTCAGAAGCTGCTCCCATGCGAGGGATGTGATGTATAAAGACAAGCCCTGATGAACTGCTTTCCCCATTTACCTTTTCTTCTTCCTCCTGCGAGCAGCAGGGTCTTCATCTTCGTTGTACTCCCGGGGCATCCTGCAAAAGGGTGAGAGATCACAGATAGTCTGCAGAGCCAAACCCATGCAGCTACACAGCAGTCCCTACGACACAGCAGAGCACCGAGATGCTCAAAGATGGGAACAATCCAGTCGCAAGCCTCCTTAATTCCACTCTGTCAGCAGGGAGGAAAGGAAAACACCAATTGTCACCAAACAAAACCTAAATCTGCCTCCCGCATAAAGCATCTTAACAGCTATATGACTCCTCTGTTTACAGCAGTCCTGACTCTGTTTCTCCACTTAACACATGTACAGCTGGCATGGATCCAAGCACTGAGCAAGGGTGAGGTCTGCTCCTCAGATTCATCAGCAAAAGTCCCTTTAGATAATTCACTGCAGAGCACAGGGGGAAGAGAGACAGGCTGGGATGGAGCCCAAGGGAAAGCTTTGTCCTGTGAACCAAAGTCCTACTCACTCATGGTGGCGAGATTTGGACGGTGGCGCAGATGTAGGCGCAGCCCGCGGGGTCATGAGCAGCTTCCTGAAGTCTTCATTGGTCAGCTTGGACCTGCAAGGAACATACAGAAACTGTCACCCCCCAGTGAGTTCTGACAGCCTCAGAGGAGGCAGAGGGTTTGTGATGGGGTCGGACATGGGTCCCATGGAGGGAGCCCAAAGGCTGCACTGCAGCAGCAGTCACTCCAGCCTCTAGAGCAGGCAATCAGGCTCAGGCCCCACAGCCCTGGTCCAGTCCCACCCCAGTGCCCCAGTGCTGGACTCACTGGTGGAAGGAGTGTGAGTCGTCCACATCATGGCCATCGGGGGCCAGGGGGTTGGAGAACGGTTCATCTGGAGAACAGGAGGAAATGGAGCGCTCAGAGTCTGCCTGACGGCTGCACCCCCTCCAGCCCTCCCAGTCCGATCCCTGCTCGGGAACGGGGAACGAAACACCATTCACCCCCCCGGCAGTGCTTTGCCAAGCCCAGGCCACTGACACGCCGGGGTGGCCTCACCAGGGCGCATGGACACTGGTTTGCGTTGGAAGGGACCTTAAAGCTCATCCAGTTCCAACCCCTGCCACGGGCAGGGACACCTTCCACTAGAGCAGCTTGCTCCAAGCCCCTGTGTCCAACCTGGCCTTGAGCACTGCCAGGTCACCCCCAAACACACCCGCGCATCCCCGCACACCGGGATGCCACCGCTCCCGTTCCCCGGCAGAGCTGCTCCTCTCACCATGCCCATGAACGGGCTCCTCCGTCCCCCCGGGGCCCCAAGCTCCGGGCCGGCCTGCACCGCCCCGCCCCGAGCCAGGCCGCTCCGCACTCAGGAAGTGCCGCTGCCACCCCCGTCAATCCCCCCCCTTCCCCCCGGGCCGGGTGCCCCGGAGCCCCGCCGTGCCCGGTGCCCGCTGCCCGCTCCCCGCTCACTGTCTCGCTCCGGCATCGCGCCCCGAGCCTGATCCCCGCTGCCCTCCGCGGCTCCCCGACACCTCCGCTCCCCTTCCCAGCAACCCCGCGGCGGGCGCTGTCATAGGCGGGCGCCGAGGCCACGCCCCCGTGTTGTGGTGGGGAGCGCAGGGAAGATGGCGGCGGCCGTGAGGGGCATCGGGGGCGGGTTGGGCCGCGGCCTCCGGGAGCTGCGCTTCCACCTCTGCCAGCGCTCCGCGGGCAGCCGCGGCGTCAGGTGAGCGGGGCGGGGGCAGAAGCCGGGCTGGAGCCGCCGCTGCACGGGCGGGCCGGTGAGCAGCCCAGGGACCCGAGTTCCTCTTCCCTTCTCTCCCTGCGCAGAGACTTCATCGAGCAGCACTACGTGACCCTGAAGAAGGCGAACCCCGACTTCCCCATCCTGATCCGCGAGTGCTCCGGGGTGCAGCCGCGGCTCTGGGCGCGCTTCGGTGAGTGGAAGCACGGTCCGCGGCTGTGCGGCCGTAGCGAAGGACAGTGCGAGGAGCAAGCTCAGAGGCGGTGTAGGGACCTCGTGTGGGGCAGGAAAGGGATCTAGGGCTCTGCAGGTGCCTCGCAACTCGTGGCTGTGATCTCCTGCCCCTCTAGGACCCTTACACAGCGAAATCATAGAATAGTTTGGGTTGGAAAGGACCTTAAGATCATCCAATTCCAACCCCCCTTCCATGGGCAGGGACGCCTCACACTAAACCGTGTCACCCAAGGCTCTGTCCAACCTGGCTTTGAACACCACCAGGGATGGAGCATTCACAACCTCCCTGGGCAACCCATTCCAGTACCTCACCACCCTCATAGTAAAGAACTTCTTCCTTATATCCAATCTGAACTTCCCCTGTTGAAGTTTGAACCTATCACCCCTTGTCCTATCAGTGTGTCCCTGATGAAGAGTCCCTCTCCAGCATTCTTGTAGCCCCCTTCAGATACTGGAAGGTTGCTTGTTCCTGTGTTTTCACTGCGTTCTTTAGGAAAGGCCAAGGAAGGAGCAGAAAAGCTCCTCTGTAATGGCTTTCTTTGTTAATGCCACCTGGGATGGAAAAAAGTAAGTTAGAAACTTTCAGAGATGCAGTTACTCTTTAGCAAGTCTCCCAGTGTGAGCACACAGGAGCCTCTTGGTGTACGCCTGTCTCTTGCCTGGCTGTGACTTGGAGGAGCACACAACCCCAGGCAGGGGCTGCTGTAGGAACAACTGGGGTTTCAGCACTACTCTACTGAAGCATTGGTCAGCGTGTCTGTGTGAGCAGGCCAGAAGCCACCAGGTTGCTTTGGGATGTGGTGCTGGCCTCTGCCCAGCTGCTGTGCAGCAGGAGTTAACAAAAAGGCATGGAAACACATTGGGCTCCATTGGCTTCTCCCCAAGGGACAGGCTGGGAGTACAGACAAGGTAGAAGCAGTATCTCACACACAGGGTAACAGACAGGAGAGAGATGGGTGTGAAGGGTGGTGGTGGGCACCTGGGCTGTGACACTTGGGAAACTAGAGCAGGGCTTTTGGTTGCCCTTGCAGCAGAGAAGAATCAAGGCACTGCCTCTCCCCCCTCACCCTCTGTCTTTCCTGCAGAGTTTGGCAGGGAAAGGAGTGTGCCTCTGAACAACCTGAGTGCGGATGAAGTGGCCAAGGCCCTGGAGACCATTGTGAAGAGCACGGGGTGAAGACAGGCAGTAAACACACGTGCTGAAACTTGACTGATCTTTAATGTAAAACACGTATCTTTAACTTATCACATAAAAGCAATGTGCTTACCCTGAGCGTCATATGTTGGGTTTTAAAGCCAAAAGGAGACACTGGAGGGATCCAGCGGGGTTTATCCATCACCTCCCTGCATCAGGAGCCTGCTCTGGGTTCCAGCCCAGCTCTGCCCCTGCACCAAGCCCATGGAAAGCACAGGGTATTCTCCTGGTAGCTCTGAGATGGTGACAAGGATGGAAACAGCCTTATCTTGCCAAGGACCAGTGTCCCTGTGCAGCCAGCACTGGTGCTTACTGCTGGGGGTTAGACCTCTGACCTGCCCTTGGGAAAGCAGGGCATGGTGTGAACACAGATCTACCCCTCCTCAGAGCACAGGGGGAGGGAAGGAAGGTGGCCTGCGAGAAGAGGGACTGCCCAGGGGCTGCCCCACCATGTCCAACAGTGCTCGTGCCCGCTCCTGGAGCTCTGGGGTGCTCTGGTGCTGCTCCAGGGCCCGGTGCCCGCCTTCTCTGATGAAGTCAACAGCAGCCTGTGAGAGAGGAGAGGGGTGACGGTTGCAGTGTGCCACTCGAGTGGCTGCAGCAGATGATCCTGTCTGCCCAGAGCCACCACTGGGAAGGGGGTTGAAGGAACTCCCAGACACTGAAGTCGCAAGCCATGTGCACCAGTCATGGCGATTGCTGGCTAGGCATGCACAGAGCTTGAAGTAACCACAACTGAATCAAAAGAATCCCCCCCTTAATAACCTCAAACTGTACAAACAACTTGCCCCCAAAAACAGTTGTCACACTCAGACTGGGGTGGAAGGGACCTTAAAGCTCATCCAGTTCCACCCCCCTGCCACAGGCAGGGACACTTTCCACTAGAGCAGCTTGCTCCAAGCCCCTGTGTCCAACCTGGCCTTGAACACTGCCAGGGATGGGGCAGCCACAGCTTCTCTGGGCACCCTGTGCCAGCGCCTCAGCACCCTGTGCCTGCGCCTCAGCACCCTCATAGTAAAGAGATCTGAATCTCCCCCCCCGTCAGTTTAAAGCCATGTCCCTACAGGCCCTTGCCCCAAGCCCCTCCAGCTTTCTTGTAGGCCGCCTTTGTCAATGAAAGAACTTCCCAGAGGCACAGAAGGGTGTAAGCACTTCCACCGTCTGCCTCACGTGAGTAACCCACTTCAGGCATGTGTCTGAGTGCTGAGGAGTGGGGGGTAGTGGGGCAATGACAGAATGCATTTAAATCATCATCATCATCCCCATCTCAGGCTTGATTCTGGGCTTTCACCTCTGGGCAGTGCAGGAAGAGTAGGTGCAGCAGCTCCAAGCACTGCCCCACGGCCTCGGGGTCGGGCAGTGTGAGGGTGGGCAGCAACAGGGGCAGGGCCGATTGCTGGTGCAGCTGCTGGCAGAACACTGGTCCCTTCGCTGCTATATTGCACACAACTGTCAGGACCTGGGTGGAGAAACCATGACAGGGAATGAGCAGTGAATGTGCAGCTTGCTCTAAGCCCTGTCCAACCTGGCCTTGAGCACTGCCAGGGATGGGGCAGCCACAGCTTTTGAAAGCTCTTGAAAGTCCAGTGCTTCCCTCCAGACCCAGGGCACGAGGTGAGGTCTTACCAACACAGTGGCCATCTGGGAACAGGGCAGGAGCTGCAGCAGGGCTGGGAGCAGGTCCAGGGAGAGCAGAGCAGAGCAGAAGAAGGGCTCATGTGCTGGGGTGGGCAGGGGAGAAACGTGTCAGCAAAACTGAGGTTCTGAGGGGGCCTCTGCAGACACGGCTGCCAGCAATTGAGGTAGGGCCTGGCAGCAGCTCTGGCTCTGCGGGACGCTCACCTGTGAGGTTGTTCAGGAGCCAGAGACACTCCTGGGCGATGAAGGGGTGTTGCTGGAGGAAGCTCTGGAGGATGAGGAAGATGGCGATGAGCAGGCGCTCATCCTGCACCTGCACTTCACAGCCTGTGTCCTCTGCAAGCAGGTTGCTGAGACACCGCAGCACCGGGCACACGAGCTGTGATAGTGGGAACACAGGGCCCTTTACCCAACCATATCCTCCCAGTGCTGCTGAGAACAGCCAGTGCTCAGTGCCCTGCCCATGTCTTACCAGCTCCAGGCCCTCAGCAGCATCTGGAGGGGGTTCAGAAGCCAGGTCGAGCAAGACTGAGGTGAGGGCAGGCAAAGCCCCCAGTGACAGCAGAGCTGTGTTTGCCGTTTGGCTGCAAAGGAAGAGGCAACGTGGGTGCTCGTGGTGCTCAGAGAGGGAAAACTGCTGCAGCCCTGCACAGTAACAGGGCCTGGGAACTCAGAGCATTCTCCTGAACCACCACAGGGCTTCTTCCTTGTTTGAGCAGCAGCCTGTGACTAAGTTTAAAAGCCCACGGAAAACAGAGCCACTGGAATTATCTGTGTGGGTCTGAAAACAGCCCCAGTCCTTCGAGTACCCACACATTCCTTTCTGCTGGGGCTATGGAAAGACATGGCACTGGAGCAGCCACACCAAGGCAGAGCAGCCAGCCTGGCCAGGTGACACTGGGCAAGTCCCAGAGCATGAAGATTTAGGGAGTGGGAGAGACAACTCCAGCCATGGAGAGATGATTTACAGGGGTTCAGAGGACTAGGACCAGCCTCCTCACGTTTATCACCTCTTATGACCTTGTAAAGGAGCTCCATGATCAGATGGAATGGGAATGGCCAGGATGGCAGGGAAGTTGCTTTCTCAAGGGAAAGAGGCAAGGGGAGGCAATCAACGTCCCCTCACAGGACCCTGAGCCTTTGAGCCTCTCTGGCTGCCCCCAGGGAACACAAAATGAGGAGAGAAAAACACTTTACCTACAAATGATGTAGTGCAGACACCATGCAAACTCCACGGCTGCTCCTATCCCAGCCTTGGGGCCCGAGCAAACCAGTCGAAGCATGTGCTGGGGGAGAGCAGAGGCCAGAACCAGGCTGGGGTCAGAACAACAGAGTTAACGGAGGCACAGGCCGGAGCACAAACACAACAGACACCTCACAGGCAGGCACTAGCCCTGGCCACATGCTCCACAGACAGATCTGGAAGAGACTCCTGCCGAAGGGCTGCAGCCTCAGACACCACTGAGGCCCAGCTCAAGCCCTCCCTGTTCATGGCAGGGCCTGGGGGCTCTCAGGGCACCGTGGCTGGAGTCACATTTTTGGCACTAGGGGCTGTCAAGCTGGTCTTGTCCTTTGCAGGATGAATACAGCCAGCATTGCCCTGCGAGCCTGCCCTCCTCCACACTGTCCTTTACTGAAATACCAGAGCTGTCTGCTCAGATGAGGCTGAGGGAGAAGAGTCAAGCCCCACACCCTGATCTGTAACAAAACCTCCATCGTTCTGGTAGGGTTCTGCTCTGAACTATTAATATCACTGCGATGAAAAGGAGTCGTCCCTGGCACGCAAATACCACACTGAGCCCCAGGGCCCATCCTGATGCAGGGTTATGAGGCTCAACTCACGGAATGATCTCTGCTGGGGCTTCCTTGGCTTGGAGCAGCTGTGAGAGGACGTAGCCCAGACCTTCCAGCACAGCCTCATGTGGGGACTGCAATCAGAGAGAGCAAAGCTAATCCCACATGACAGAGCCAGGGGATCCCAGCTGCTGAGAGCAAGATACCTCTTTGGAACATCACAGCGAGCAGCTGAGTGGCACAGCTTAGTACCTACAGTCAACACCTAAAGACCATGAGGAGAGGGCTATTCTGCGGCAGGGCAGGGGAAGAATGTGGCAGAGCTATTTCACCCACCTGGATGCAGGACACCAGCACTGGAATGATGCCCTGAGGCAGAAGCCGCTTCCTCACAGCTTCGCTTTCTACTACCAGGTTCCCCAGCGTGTACAGACACAGCTCCTGAAACACACCAAGAGAGCAGGTCACCCGTGGCAGGGGTTTGGAACAGGATGAGCTTTAAGGTCCCTTCCAAACCAAACCACTCTGCGACACAATTCTATGATTTCCCTGAGACCCTTCTAATTCCACAGTATTTCCCTGGAAAGACTGTCTCTGTGCTACATTACAATGTGCTTATCACCTTGGGGTTGCTCACCAGCTTGTTCCTTAGCTCCAATCCTGTCTGCCTCTCAGAGGAGCACAGTGTGCAGCACAGGGTGCACTGCTCACCAGCTATGCCTTTGCCCAGGTCAAACTGCACCGCTCGGAGCCACAGGCACTCTCTGCTCCTCTGACCCAAGTTCCTGCTTCTTGCACGCAGGTACCCTGCCAAAGCAGCTGTTCCTGACCCAGCCTGCAGCTGCTCATTCCTTTCATTTTTCCAACCTCTTTTCAAACACAGTTGACTTTCATCTGGTATTTCTGCTTCACCCATACATAGACACTAGGGTTCCTCCTGCCCAGGCCCAGAGGCCAGAACTCACATCTAAGGATGGAGCCCAACTCCCACACCGCAGTCCCCAAATGGAGTTTGGAGCTGGAGAGGAGGAACCATTGCAAATGGGGTAAACACTGGCTTCTGGGCTGTGGCAGAAGGATTTGCCTGGCCTGGATAAGACCTAAGAGCATTTAGGAGCAGCCTGAAGCTACCTGGAACACAATGAAACCAAACTCCTCTTGGTGTTGGGACAGGGCACAGTGAAGAGGGTCTCCGTATGTTCAAGACTTGGCCAGATGCTGGGGTAGCACTGGGGACAAGGGGAAGGTTGGAGCAGAGACTTCCAGGGGCCCCTTCCTGCCAGCACTCCCCTGTGAGCCACGTTAGGCTAAGGCTGGCCAAGGGAGGCCAACACCCAACTGCTATCAAAGGGTTATCAGGAGCCAGCGCCCAGGTAAACACAGATCTCACCGTGAATTCAATGCTGTGTCCAGAGAGGTAGGTGAGGAGGTAGGAGGTCACTGGCAGACATGCCTCAGCCACAGCAGGGTCACTGGAGTGGGACAGCTCGTGGAGGCAGCGGCCTGCCTGCATCTGCACGTCAGCCAGGCTGCTGGTGAAGAGCCCGATGAGTGTCCGGATGCTGCCGTTCAGCCTGGTGGAACACAAAAGGTGCCATCACCTCCTGCCCTCCCACCCTCAGCCACACACCAGCTCACGCACACAGGGACTGGGGCACAGGGCAACTCTGGACATGCCCAAGATAATAGCCATGCAGGGCCAAGACCCAGACTGACCTGACAAACTTCTGCTGAGTCTCCTTGTTCCGCAGAGCCCAGCAGAGACGGCCAAGAGATTTTTTCCTGTCCTCAGAGCCCTTCTGCATGCTCCTGAGCAGCTCAAGAACCTGCCCAAGAATGGAAAGACGGATGGGTGAACTCCCAGCAGTGACAGGGTTACGATTTCATCCCATTCATCCTGCGGGCAAAGAAACCCAGGGCAAAAAGAGATGGTCATAAGGAACCTTGTATCTCACTGTGGCACTGACTCAGAAAACACTCCCCAGCCCACTTCCACCCGGGCTCCTCTGCGTGCCTGGAGGCTGGGAAGACCCCAGGAACCCCCAACACCACGTTCTTCACCTCATTCTCCGAGAGAGGTTCCGGCTCAATCCCTGCTCCATCCCGTGCCCCCTCCTCTGCTGCTGTGTCCTCCCGCAGTAGCCGCTTGCTGACCAGCTGCTCCTGCCGCCGGGCTTTCCTGAGCGCTGTGATTGAAACAGTCCCTGTCACCACCGGCCTAGGTGAAGGCGCTTTCCCATGCCAGCAAAGAGCCTCATTCCTTTTAACGGGGAGACACCGCCAGCTCCTCCTGTGTGAGCCGGGGGGGATGTGAGACAGCGGCTGCATTCAGACCCTGCGCAGTGCAGGGCCGGGCACTGCTCAGCCTGGAAAGCCATGGCTGGGTGAGCCCGGCTGGATGGGGCTTGGAGCAAGCTGCTCTAGTGCAGGGTGTCCCTGCCTGTGGCAGGGAGATGGGACTGGATGAGCTTTAAGGCCCCTCCCAACACAAACCAGTCTGGGATTCTATGATTCTAAACGGCACAAAAGCAGCAGAGGTGTGAGCAGCAGGGTGGTTTCACATAGGCAGGCTTCAGAAAACCCAAACCGCAGGAGGAAATGGGGAATCCAGGTCACAAACACGCGAGTTTATAGAGATGAGGCTGTAAAATGCCAAAACGCTACCCCGAGAGGCAGGGACCAGCAACCACCGCCCCCTGTGCACCGCGGGGTGCGCTGGGCGTGGGTCCCGCTGTGGGGCAGCGCTGGCGGCCACGGGGGCTCCCACCCTCGGCGGGGGCACAGACCCGCCCGGCCCCACCGCCCCTGGGCCCGGGCCCGGGCCCGGGCCCGGCCCCGTCCCGCCGCGCCGGCGAGTCCCGCACGGGCAGGCCCCGGCCCCATCCGGACCTGCCTCCTGCTCCCGCCGCCGCGCCCGTAGCTCCTCCGCACCGCGGGTGCAGGACCCGGGCCCGCGCTGCCGCCGGCCCCACATGGCGGCGGCGGGAGGAGGAGAAACCGGACTGGGGCGGGCCCCCGGGCCCCCCCGCCCCGCCTCCCAGAGCGCCAGGGCCGGCCCTTCCCGAGGCGCTGCTGCGCCCCCCGGCACCGGCTGCTGCAGCCGCCAGGGGGAGCTCGGCAGCGCCGCGGCGGGGCTGGAATGAGATGAGCTCTGAGGCAGGAGCTCTTCCCTGTGAGGGTGCTGAGGCGCTGGCACAGGGTGCCCAGAGAAGCTGTGGCTGCCCCATCCCTGGCAGTGTTCAAGGCCAGGTTGGACACAGGGGCTTGGAGCAAGCTGCTCTAGTGGAAGGTGTCCCTGCCCGTGGCAGGGGTTGGAGCTGGGTGAGCTTTAAGGTCCCTTCCAACCCAAACCAGTCTGGGATTCTCTGAAGCCATGCAGCTGCCATGTGCAGGCAAGGTTTCTCCCCCACACGGCTGGGTTGCGTGCTTCTCGAACCCAAAAGAAGCACAGACACTTAACCAGAAACGTCAGGCAATGGTTCTTAGTGTGCTGGGATCTTCCACAGTGGTTACAAGAACAAGAAGTCAGCACCCAAAGGATGGCTCTGCACCCACATGTTTGTCTGTTTGACCACCAAGGAGGGAAGAGAGCTCAGTTTTACCCAAAAAGGCATTTGGGGGAATTTTGGCAGCTGGTTCCCAGGAATGAGAAATTAAAAGGGACCAGGCCTGGAGATGCCGCCCTCACCCAAAGAACTGAAGCTGCTGTGACTTTTCCACAGTGCACCCAGACCTGCCTTCCCTTCACCCATCCCAGCAGCAGCGCAGGGTGGGACAGGCAGCTCTGGTCCCAGCCCTTGTCACACCGATAGCAGCTCTGGAATGCCTGGGAATGCATCTTCTAGCCATGCAGTTTCATTGCCTTTTGGAAACCCGTTCTGAAACTCAGCATAGGCAGAGGAATCCCCGATAAAGAAGAAATCCCTGACAGACCTTTCCGAGTGCTTGGTGGTCTCTGCTCACTGGAGAACACTGACAGTTTGGTGTAGGCACAGCCACCAGCTGCCAAAGGAGCACAGGGCAAGCGATGTGACTTCATTGGCCAACCTGCTGAAGCCGACCTTGGGTGAAGAAGTGCCCTTCTCAGCACAGGGCTGTGCACATGGCTTGTGGGAAGTTGTCCCATCCCCATTCCACACATGACACACATGGCGTCTGGGGGTGTCTGAATACTGGGTATGGTATTCCCATACCCTTCTGGGGGTGCTAGTCAACAACAAGCTCCCCATGACCCAGCTTGTGTGTGCTTGAGCCCAGAGCCCCACCGTGTGCTGGGCTGCACCCCCAGAGGGTGAGCAGCAGTAGAGGGAGGGGATCCTGTTCCTCTGCTTCGCTCTGGGAAGATCCCCCCTGCAGTCCTGATCCAGCTCTGGGGCAGCAGCACAAGAGGGATGTGGAGCTGTTGGAGGGAGTGCAGAGGAGGCCATGGAGGTGCTGTGAGGGCTGGAGCAGCTCTGCTCTGGAGCCAGGCTGAGAGAGCTGGGCTGGGTCAGCCTGGAGAAAAGGCTCCTGAAGGGGAGACCTTAGAGCAGCTCCAGTGCCTAAAGGGGCTACAAGGAAACCTGGAGAGGGGCTTTGGACAAGGGACTGTAGGGACAGGACAGGGGGAATGGCTTTAACCTGCCAGAGGGGAGACTGAGATGAGCTCTTAGGCAGAAGCTCTTCCCTGTGAGGGTGCTGAGGCGCTGGCACAGGGTGCCCAGAGAAGCTGTGGCTGCCCCATCCCTGGCAGTGTTCAAGGCCAGGTTGGACACAGGGGTTTGGAGCAAGCTGCTCTAGTGGAAGGTGTCCCTGCCTGTGGCAGGGTTGGAACTGGGTGAGCTTTAAGGTCCCTTCCAGCACTGGGCTCCGAGGCACAGCAAGCCCAGAGCATCTGGAAGCAAAGATGTGTTCAGGCTGGTCCTGGGAGTGCATTTAGGGAACTTTGACCATGCTCTCCTCCCTCATCCTTCCTAGGAAAGGAGCAGCACTGGCAACCAGACCAAATATGCCCGCAGCCATGGGCAGCCACAAGCTTTGCTGCAGGGAAACGAAGTTGGGCGGTTGCTGCACAGCACGTGGCTCCCCGGGCACAGCCCGTCCTGCTGAGGAAGCTCTGCAGCAGGAACAGGGGCAGCACCCAGGAGCTTGCCTCGGGGTGCCCCCCACCCCACTGTGAGGTGCGATCACAGCAGGAGCGGCTGAGCGAGTGCAAGGGCATCTGCAAGACACCTGCAGGCACCAGCGTCTCACCCAGCTGCGGGACCGGGTGCAGGAGGGAGCTGGGCATTGCGAAGCCTTTGGCACCTAAGCCCTGGGTTTGGCAGCAGCGGGAGGAAGCAGCTGTGGGGCTGGGAAGTGTTCCAGTGTGCGCGGGTGAGTCACTGCACAAACCCACCCCTGCTGCATGCTGTGAGCCCCCGAGAGGGACAACACACACAGCTTCTCCCCAGGAGCGTGACGCAGCCCCCCCGATGGCACAGGGAGGTAGGGGTCCATTTGTTCTTGCCTTGGGAGGGATTTGGGATGTGGCCAGAAAGAGCTGATGGAGGCAAGCGCTGGCACAGACTTGCTCAAAGCAGGAGGCTGGAGACCCCTGAAGCCTCGTCACCACTACCCCGCCTGGGTTCCTGGATGGAGCTGAGTCAGCGAGTTCTTAGCAGCCTTTGATCCTTGCTTGCTGCTTCCCTGGAATCTGTTAAGACTCTCCTGTCTTGTCCTGTCCTGGCACAGCAAAGCCAAGCCTGGTGCTGACAGGGACGTGACAGACCCCCAGATGTGATTTTCTGCTGTCCCCTTGGAAGCTGGTGATGAATCAAGTCACTTGGGTGAGAAAAAGGAAAATATGAAGTCCCTGTTGCAATTTCCTGCTTCAGATTACAGAGCACAGCACTCAGAGAAGCAAACAGAGCTGTGGCTCCGCTGTCGTGTGGTCAGACCAACATATCTGGCTTCCCTGTCCCTAACTCCTTGGTTTTAGTTTCTCCTGATCCATGGGATTTCATGGTCTCTCAGGAACAGGACTCTGCAGCAGGGCAGCCCAGGCAGGAAAGCACAGAGCTGAAACCCTGCTTTTGGGGTGTGGGAGACCAGTGCCATCAACTCCCTCCTGGTTTTGCTGGTGATAGAGCTTTGCCCTGGTGAGTGTGCTGGATCCATATGAAGGACACTCAGCTGGGCAGGAGGGATGAGGGCAGTGCTGTGTCCCTCAGGGGTGGCTCTCCATGGTCCTCTGCCCATGTTGGTTGCATCTCAGTGGTGCTCTCAGCTTCCTCTCACCGCTGCTCTCTCCTCTTTTCTAGGTCGTTCGACATGAGTGTGGCTGTTCTTTTCCTCCTGGGGCTGGGGCTGTTGGAGGCAGAATGCAGGTGCTTCTTCAACCGCACTCAGGAGCACTGTGTGTGCTACAGCCTGTCCCAGGAAAGCGCTGACAGCATCATCCAGTGCCTCCCAGCCTCTGTTGTGGAGTTTCGTGGGGGAGACCTGGAGAGATACGTAGCCTTCACCATCAGTGACCCAGACCCTTCTACCATTAACATGCTGGGCTCCCTGCTATTCAGGAAGATCATCTTTGGTGATCTCCTGGTGCCCGAGATACTCCTCGCCCAAGCGCTGAGGTTCTTCTCCTACACCCACGTCCAGGAGCTGGTGTTTGACAGCTGTGTTTTTGAGGGCAGAGGCAATTGGGACAGAATGGCCGGCCAGGACTTGCCCATTTTGTCCCTGCGCTTCCACAACGTGAGCTCTGCTGCACTGATGGGCCGCGAGCAGGACTTCTCCAGCCTGAGCAGCTTCCTTGGGGCCCTGCAGGAGCTGTCCCTCACCACCTCCCGCCTCACCAGCCTGCCCTGTGCCATCGGGAGGCTCTTCACAACCCTGCGCTCCCTGGACATGGCACAGAACAGCCTTGGGGATGAGAGCCTGATGTCTGCTTTCTGCAGTGGGGCTTTTCCTCATCTCCTGGTGCTGAGTCTGCAGCGCAACAACCTGACATCCTACCACAGAGTGTGTGAGGGCGTGCAGCTGCTGCGGGAGCTCCAGCATCTCGACCTCAGCCAGAACAAGCTCACAGCAGACCCGTCCTCCTCCTGCCAGTGGCCGCCGTCCCTCCGCAGCTTTAACTTGTCTGACGCTGGCTTGGAAGAGGTCCTCACACCTCTGCCCCCCAGCCTGGAAGTGCTGGACATGAGCTGCAACCACCTCCACACTGTAGACATCTCCCTCGGCTCCTTGAAGAAGCTCTTCCTGAGCCAAAACATGCTGGAGGCTGCGCCCTCCATCAGGAATTACCCCTTGTTGGACACCCTGCACCTGGACAACAACTCCATCACGGAGCTGCCGTGGGATGAGATGAAGAACCTGCAGGACGTGGCCGCAGCCGACAACCCCTACATGTGCTCATGCTCCGAGGCGGGGGGGCTGCAGGCACTGGCGGCCATGGGGCAGCTGGGGCAGGGCTGGCCCCAGCACTACATGTGCCACGCTCCGCCTCGCTACCGGGGCAGGCTGGTGGAGGATGTGCCGGTCTCGGTGCTGCAGTGTAACAGTGCTGCTGTGGTCGTCCCCATCTGCATCGTCCTGGTCCTGATCGCCGTGGCTGGAGCTGTCTCCTTGGTCAGATCCAGACCTGAGCTCATCCGATCCTGCCCCAGAGTGTGAAGGGGACCTGTGACTATCCCCATGGAGGCTGCAAGGCCAGGAGCTCTGTGGGAAGACTCACAGGTCCCCCAGGTGCTGGTAAAGGGCTCTGTGTCCCCGGTTGTCGTGGTTTAAGCCCAGCCAGCAACTAAACACCACACAGCCACTCACCCCCTGCCTGTGGGATGGGAAAGAGAACTGGAAAATGGGTATAAAACCTGTGGGTTGAGGTGAGAAGAGTCTGATAATTGAAATAAAAATAGAATAATAATAAAACAATAACAGTAATGACAGTAATAACAGTAATGCTAGCAATAGCTGGTACCCTTAATAATATCAAGGGTACTAGCTAGTAAGCTACAGTGATGATGATGCTCCTACTACTAATAGGAAACAGAGACAGAGGAATAACCCCCTCCCCACTGCCCCTTCTGGGCAGCTCCCCCCAGTTTATATTTCATATAAAAAGTATAAATATGTACTACCCCCCAGTTTATGTTGCAGTTTTATCCCACTGGGCATGCCGTGCTGTGGGATGAAATCCTTTGGTTTGGGTCGGGGGTCCCGTCTCTGCTTCATCCTGGCTTCTTGTACCCCTCCTCACTGGCAGAGCATGAGAGACTGAACAGTCCTTGATCAGGGTGAGTGCTGCTGAGCAACAACTAAAACATGGGTCTGTTATCAGCATTAGTCTCGGACTTAAAGCCAGAACACAGCTCTGCACCAGCTGCTAGGAAGAAAATGAACCCTATCCCAGCCAAGGACACCAGTCCAGGCTATGGAGCAGGATGGTCTGCAGAATTATCCCACAGTGGCTGCTGCTTGCTCCTTGTGCCTAGAAAAGCTACATGCTAGTCCAAGGTCCCTCACATCCCACCCCTGCCTTGCAAAGATGTCCCTCTTGGAGCCAGGAGTGAATGGGTTCAGGCCCCTGTTTCCCGTGCTCCTGCTGACTCCTGCTCAGCCTCCAGCCTGCACCCAACACCATTAATAATGCAGGAGAACAGGATCCCCCCGTGTAACCCCATCCCCTGCCCTGTCCGGCCACTGCTGAGCTGGCCATGGCTGCTGGGGAGGTGAGTGTCCTCGTGGGGACATCACAGGGTGGTTTGGGGGCTCAGCTGGGTGTGTGGGGCAGGACTCAGCTCATCCCCCTTTGCCCTGTGTCCCGGCAGGATGTGTGTGTGAAAGCGGCGGTGGGACTGCACAAGGCAGCAGGTAGAGCCCTGCTCATCACCTCAGGGCCTTCAGCATGAACCCTCATGCCAGGGAACTGGTGCTGGTGGGCCTGGCCTGGGCAGTGGTGATGGGGAGGGGGTGTCCTCCCTGTCCTGGTGGCTCTGAGCACTGTGGTCATGGTGGGAGGGCATGGGAACCACATGCCTGGGACCCAGCTCCAGGCAGCATTAGGAGCAGAGCTGGGGCAGGGGGTGATGTCCCCCACACCAGCCCATGTGCAGTGCTTCCAGGGGCAGGGGACAGCTGTGCAGCCAGCAGTGAGGACCCCCTGAAGCTCCTTTTTGCTGGGAAGGAGGCCCAGGTGAGAGTGGCCAGGACACTGGTAACAAGGGGACGAGGGGCCTTGGGGAAGCTGATGGGAGCAGGGGGGCTCTGTCCACTTGGGACCATGATGGGTGCTGAGGTCTTGGCCTGATCCCTGCCCTATACCCCTATAGGCTACTCTCGTGTGGGGGGCTGTTGGAGGTTACCAGATAGCAGAGGGGATTTCCACCCCAAGCCTACCTGTGCTAAGCCCTCCATGCCATCTCTAGCCCAGCATGCCCAGTCCCCCTTTACCCTGCACTGGTCACACTGGGATGGGGGAAAGCTGAACATTGTCACCCTCCCTCATGCCAGGACAGCTGCTTCACTGTCGATGGTGTCTTCCGCTTGGATGCAGGACAGGTATTGTGGGCACCACGTCCTCCTGCACCCCTGTCCCCAGCCAGATGAGCAGGGACACATGCCCAAGCTGTTGGTTGGGGGCATTGGGCACCACTGCCACAGGTGTCACAGGCAGTGCTGGGGACCTGGCCCTTGGTCCTATGTATGGTTCTGCTGGTGTTCCCTGCCGTGTTTCCTCTGCGGTGCTGGGATGTGGCTGTCATGCTGTCTGTGCCTTACTGCCCGTGCTGTGCTCCCTGCAGCATGCTGTGCACCACTGTGCCATACCATCCGTGCTGTGCCATGCATACTGCCATCTGCACCATGCCATCCATACCAGGCTACCTGTGCTGTGCTACCCATGCACCCCATCTCTGTTGTGCTGCCCAATCCATGGCAGTGCCCTCTGTGCTGGGCCGTCTGCACCGTGGTGTCCATGCTGTGCCATGCTAGCTGTGCCATGCTGTGCCGTGATGGCTGTGCCATGCCATCCCGGCGTTACTGGCTATGTCTGTCTTACAGGAGAAGGTTCTGGAGCTGGCAAGACCCCAGCTGGCCCTGGTTCCCCTTGGCTACAGCATGACCCTGATGCTGTGGGACCCACACGGCCCTGGGCCCCAGCTGCCCTGCCAGAGCATCGTTTGGCAGGTGAGGGCACAGGGAGAGGTGACAGGGAGAGGTGACAGCTCCTGGCTCAACCCACTGACCCCAGTCCTGCTGCTGTGGGGTGCAACCGAGCCATGGGTGCCAAGAACCAGAGGCTCCCAGCTTGACCAGCTTGTCCCCAGGTCATCACCACCATCTTCCAAGAACTGGAGGCCCTGGGGGGTGATGCACGGAGCCTGCAAACTGTCAGCCTGGTCCAGGTAGGGCAGGAGCAGGGTGTGGTGGGCTGAGGGTTCCATTCCCTCTCTGCCGGTGGTCAGACCTTGCTGTGCCAAGGGACATACATTGCCCCAGTACTGGCACGCAGTGCCCTGTGCCAGAGGGTGACCAAAGCCTGCAGACCTTCGGATCCTGAGATCTCTCCCTTCTCAGCCCTTACCTTTGCATGGCCATGAGCAGGCTGCGTCCCTGGGGAGTGCCAGCACTCCCCTCTTTGCCCCCCCTCTGCCTAACGCAGCCCCATTCCAGGTCTGCAGCCATGACAAAGCCTGGGACCTGCTTCATCCCGATGGCCGAGCCCTGCAAATGATGGATGTTGCGCCCCTGGGCCTGTAGGTACCTGATACTCCGTGGTCAGGCAGGTGCTCCTGGGAGGTGGTACCCCAACATTGAGCACATGGGCTAGGCAGGGAGCATGGTGCCCAGCAGAGGGTGGCCAGGGGCATCCCTCAGGGAGCACACAGGAGATGGATGGACATGGCCATCACTCACTGTGTCCTCCCTCTGCTTCCAGGATGGTGGAGGAGGCAATGGAAGTCGCAGTGCGCGATGCCCAAGCTGCCATCAGTGTGTATGCCTCGGGGCTGGGAGCCATCCCGGCACTGTTCCAGGGGTGTGCACAGCAGCTCCCTGCAGGCGAGTGCTCGGCCACACAGGGGTGAGGGATTGGGCAGATATCCCATAGGGAAGGGAAGGGTTTGGGCCATGACTGTGGGCACCGCTGTGCACTGCTCTCTAGAGATGCACTCCCTAGAGCCGGCAGCCTCTTCACTCTCACCGTGGAGCGGGAGCTGGAGGGAGGCAGGCACCAGCGCTCAGCCCTCAGGATCCTGGCATCTCCTGGGACCACTGGGCCCTGCTCCAGGCTGTACGTACTGGAGCTACAGCCCTGTGCTAGGCTAAGCCATGTCCCCTACCCTGGCACCCCTGCCGTGCTGCTGTGGGTCAGGGGGGATTTGGTACCCTCTTGAAGCAGGAGAGACCCCAACACCCCAGTGGGAGCACCTGTCTGGGAGCCAAGGGGGTGCCATGACCCCTGGGGACATGGGCTTGCTTCCAGCATGGCTCCCATGGGTCGGGGCTCAGCCTTCCCAGCCCCATCCCTCTCCTAGGGTGCCCCTTGTCCCACATGCAGGGAACCGGGCACTGGCCACCCTCTGCCTGACACTGGCTGCCTGCCCTGGGTCGTGGAGCAGTTGCTGGAGGGGAACAGCCTGACGTTCCTGCTGCTGTGTGTGACGCTGCCAGGTACCCCCTGGGATTGGGATGCCACTTTGGGGTGTCCCCACCCTGCAGTTTCCCCCATCTCACCCCACTCCCGGCACTTGGTCCCAGACCGCAGTGGTTGGAGGCTGGAAACCAGCTCCACTTACCCCCATCCTGACCCTGTGCCAGGCAGTGGGAGGTGCTGCTGGGTCCCCGTGGTCCCTGCTCAGGGTTTGCTGCTGTCCCAGACACCTCCAGAGAAGAGGTCCTGGAGGCCCTGGGGCTGGCTGAGCGCGTGAAGGGGCTGGCCAGGAGGATCTCAGCCACGCTCTGGGACCCTGTGCAAGAGATCACAGCACGTCGGAGGCTGATCCGAGGGCTGCGCCTGGAGCTGCTGGCTGGAGCTGCAGTCCCTGAGCAGGAGGTGGCCCTGGCCCAGCTGCGGAAAGCCCTGCGGGAGCTGCGGGTGAGAAAACGCCCCTGGCCACCACATGGGACCAGGATGAGGGCTGACGTCCATCCTGGTGTCAACACTATTGGCCAGCACTGAGGGCAGGGGCTGAGGGCTCCCTGCTGGGGATTGAGGCAGCTGGGGTAAGATGTATCCCTGGAGGTCTCCAGCACCCCAGCAAGGATCCCCTTTTCCAGGTGCTGAAGAGCCAAAGGTGGGAGAAGAAGCAGGCAACAGCCGAGATGCTCAGGACAAGTGAGATACATCAAACCACTACAAAGATGGGCACTGGTCAGGACATTACCCCCTCATACAGGGATAACCCAGGTGCAGGAGAACCCCTGAGTCCTGGTTGCATCCCTGTAACACCTCCTGTTCCCACAGACCAGGTCTCTGCAAGGAATACAGCACCAGACCAGCAGTCTGGGACCCATGTGTCCCCGACTGGTATTAGCCTGGGGGCAGCAGGTCTGGAGTGTGGGGACAGGCAGGCACCCCACGCCTTGGTGGCTGATCTGTGGGCAGGAAGCATCGCTTCACATGGTGGAAAAAGGCTGGAAGAGGCCTCAGTCTCTCTTCAGTCACACCACGTTGTGCTCAATCTCCTTCCCTCTCCCCACCCAGCACAGGGTGCCAGCGAGAGCAGCCAGGGCGGGGACAGCCAAGCCCTGGTGAGCACAGGACAGAGACTGCTGGAGGAGCCCGCACCAAGCGAAGCACCAAATCTCCTGACGGGTGACACAGTGAGTGCTGGGTCGAGTGACCAGGGCCTGCAGCCCTCTTCTCTGGCAGCACTGGGTTCTCTGGGTGCTGTCTGAGCCTGCTCTGCCCTGTCAGGCCAAGAGGAGAGCAAGGAGGTGGGCACAGGAAGAATCATAGAATCCCAGACTGGTTTGGGTTGGAAGGGACCTTAAAGCTCATCCAGCTCCAAAACCCTGCCACGGGCCGGGACACCTTCCACTAGAGCAGCTTGCTCCAAGCCCGTGTCCAACCTGGCCTTGAACACTGCCAGGGATGGGGCAGCCACAGCTTCTCTGGGCACCCTGTGCCAGTGCCTCAGCACCCTCACAGGGAAGAACTTCTGCCTAAGAGCTCATCTCAGTCTCCCCGCTGGCAGGTTAAAGCCATTCCCCTTGTCCTGTCCCTACAGGCCCTTGTTCAAAGCTCCTCTCCAGGTTTCCCGCAGCCCCTTTAGGCACTGGAGCTGCTCTAGGGTCTCCCCTTCAGGAGCCTTCTCTTGTCCAGGCTGAACCAGCCCAGCTCTGTCAGCCTGGCTCCAGAGCAGAGCTGCTCCAGCCCTCGCAGCATCTCCATGGCCTCCTCTAGACCCACTAGAGCAGGGAACCCATCACTGTGGGCTCCAGGCTGCCTCAGGGCAGGGCAGCCCCAGGAGCAGAGACACTCCACAGTTTCCCTGTCCTCACCCCTGTCTCTGCAGTGGGACACAGCTCGCTGGCAGCAGGAGGTGACCATGCTGGGCCTGAGCCTGGAGGCAGCACGGCAGCAGCGGGACATGGCCCAGCGGGACCTGGAAGCTTTGCTGCAGAGCCACCGGCGGGAGCTGCAGTGCTGCAGGCAGCACCTGCTGCAGGTGGGCAGGGTGGGCTGGGAATGCTGCTCCAGCCTGGCAGAGCTGTCCCAGGCAGCCCTCCTACATCCTGCAGGTGCTCCGGGACCAGCAGCACTTGGCAGAGGAGCAGAGGGAGGCCCTGGACCGCTGGCACCGGGTGCTGCTGCAGGAGGTGCCGCATGCCAGGCGCATGGGATCAGCCGATGCCTCCACACAGACACCGTCAGCCAGCACCCCAGGGCTGCGGGGACAGTTTGGTGTCCCTGCAGACCCTGACACCTCAGCCCCCTCCGTTGAGTGAATCACCAGCCCTCATACCAGGGGACTGGCCAGCCCCAGCTCCAGTGGTTACACAGGGTAAGGCCTCCTGTCCTGCCTGCTCTGGCTGCTCCCTGTGGAAAACTGGCCCCAGGGAGGGCGGCTGTTGGCAAAAGGGCTGTGGGGAAAGCGCTTCACCCTTCTGCCCCCCGGGGAAAACCCTGCTCTGCTGCTGGGCACAGGCTGCAGGAGCAGGGGCTGCAGAAGCAGGGTGGGAGGGCTGGTGGGCTGGAACTAGATGAGCTTTAAGGTCCCCCCCAACCCATCCCAGTCTGGGATTCCATGAATAAAGCATTTGCCCCTTGCTGATGAGCGTCATGTGCCTGGCCCCAAACCTCTGCCAAGCAAACCTGCTTCCTTCATGGAGGACACGCACATGTGCTGTTGTACCACAACTTTAATAACCCCAGCCAGAGCCAGCAGTGACTTCTGCATGCCAGGAAATCACTAGCTACAGCATCAGTACAAATTTGGGTGCTGTCTCCCTTTTGGGATGCAAGGGACACAGTTCCCACATCCCCCCATTCCCCAACAGCTCCATAGAGAGCAGCAACACCACACTTGAGGAGGAGAAATGGAGCCTAAGGACAGCAGCCCTTCAGCCAGGGGCTGGAGAAAGAGGTGGGAGATGCCCCCAGACACTGTGAGGCTCTGCAGGAAGCTTTATGCTGATGATTGGCATTAGCACCATCCACAGGAGCTGGAACAGCATCAGACCAACGCTGGTCTGGCAGCCCACAGCAGAGCTAACTGCTGCAGGAGTACAGGCACAAGAGATGGATACACTGGGGAAACAGCTTTAGAACACAAGATACCAGACAAACCAGAGGCTCAGGACCCTTGAGGCTGGGCATGACTGCACAGGAATCCCAAGGCACAGAGCTGGAGCAGGGCACAGCTTTCCCTCTGGAACAGGGACAGAGCACTCTCATCCTCAGCACTCTTGTGCATGCACCCACCAGTAGTGACTCCCCACAATCACAAGGGCTAGGAGGCCGATGGGCAGAGCACTGCTGTGCTTTCAGCACCAGCACCAAACACCCCTGAGGAACAACCAAAGGCTGCCCCGGCACATGCAGGGCAGGAAGGCAGCAGCTACGTGAGCCCATAGTACAAGTGAACAGCGAGGCCGATGCACAAGACAGCAATGAAGAAGAGGAGAGTGAGCTGCAGATTGAAGAGGGTGACAGACAGGAGGGCATTGACCAGGATAGAGCAGGAGATGATGAAGAGCCTGGTGATGTTACTGCTGTGCTTCATCACCACAGACATGATCAAGCCATTCAAAGCCTGACTGACCACGATCACCAGCACCCAGGAGGAGAAGCCCTCCAAGAAACCGTCCTCTGTGCTGCTCCAGAAGTAGCCGATCAAGTTGAGCAGGACCCCAAAGAAGTAAAGGAAGAGGTTCTGCAGGCTGAGAGGCAGCGCCTGGGTCTTCAGGATGGCTTCTGTGTAGACAGCAGACAAGCCTGATATCAGGCAGTACACCGAGATCAGCACCAAGCCCACCAGTGTGATGTGCAGCTTCATCTCGGAGGGGCTGCCAGGGTCCTGCAGGCCCCCACAGCTGTAGCTCACTCCGGCAGCCACTAGCAGCAGAAGAGCCAGCCACTGGCGCATGCTGAGTCTTTGGCGTAGGAAGAGGCTGTAGAGGAGTGCGGTGCTGACGATCTTTAAGTTACTCAAGATCTGGTAGGTGCTGGGATCCATGAAGAGCTGCATGTGAACTACCAGGTTGTTGTTGGCAGCATAGAGCAGGGCAGAGAGGGCAAATGGGGCAACGTGGTGCCACGACACAGCGACTCCCAGCAGCTCCCGGTCCCAGGTCAGCAGGAACAGGAAGGAGAACACCAGCTTTGTCAGCTCGACAAGAACCACCACAGACGTGGAGCTGAAGGGGATCACCCCATCCACCTTACACTGGGTCAGGAGAGGGGCATGAGAGCCATATATGACTACAGACAAGAGCAGCATCAGTCCCCACAGGCCCCTCTGGAGCACCCAGTTTGCAGAGGCAGCAGCATTACCAAACATCACCATTTTCAAGCAGTAGCCAGCAAGGGCGAGCTGCTCTCAGTGCAGAGAGGCCAGACAGACTCGCAGCCTAAAACTTTCAAGAACAGACTAAATACCATGAATTTAATGAGCTTGATTAAGACGTTACCTGCTACATTTCCGATGCAGCAGAGAAGAATGATTTTGGTTTTCATAAGGAAGAGAACTACAAGCTTCCCCTGGAAGCCACACCAAGCATGTTCCTAAGGCAAAGCATGCGCTCAGCAGGAGGGATGTGTGGTGAACATGATGACATGTCACAGGCAGCCCTTCAGTCCGCAGGGGCACGGGGAGAGAGGTGAGGGTTAACAGCAGCTGGAGAACCATGAGCTGCTGGTGCTTCCAAGCTACTGTGTGTTAATGATCACTGCTGCCACAGTAATAAATACCCCATAACCAGACCTGCTGATGTCTCGCAATGATGTGGTGTAAAGCCCTTTTCCAGTGGAAAAGAACGGTGGCCGTGCCGTGCCTCTGACAGCCCTAGAAATCCCGTGTGCCTGCTAACTAAGGAACACTGTTCTACAGTCACTGCTGCCAAGGGACTCTTCGTTAGTCCCGGCCCTTTTTCAAGGAACTGACATATTCTCGGATTGTCTTTTCCACGTTGGGCACGGCGTAGTTCTGAGCAGCGTATATCCCTGTGCAGGTCCCGACCATGAAGCCCAGGACAGCCGAGAAACGGAGCTTGGCTACCAGGTAGCCTGCCAGGAAGCCTTTGAGGAAGGGCGACGCCAGCAGAGAGCCATCCTGAGGAAAGGAGCCAAGAGTGAGGCGGGCGGGCAGCGCAGGGGACACAGCTTCCCTCAGAAGCGGGGCCCGGCCGGCCCCAGGCACCACACAGGCGGGGGGGGAGAGCGTTACCTGCCCCACGCCTGCGTGCACCTCGTCCTCCACCCTGCGCTGCAGGCTCTCCAGCTGGTCCTTCAGGAAGGCGAGGTCCTTCAGCTTCGGCAGCGAGTCCTGAGGGGGAACACGAAGGCCGATGCGAGGCGACGGGAGGGACAACACAACGCTACCTCAGCCCTAGGCAGGCCGCTCCCGCCACCCCGCTCCACTCACCTTATCGTCCGCCATCTTAGCACAGGCACCACCCGCCGCGCATGCGCTGCCGGACGTTGATTGGCTGCTGGAGAGGGCGGTGACACCTACGCGCCCTTCCCGCAGCCGGCCCGCCCGGCGCCATCTTGGGGCGAGGCGGGGTCTGGCTGGCTGCCGGCGTGATGGCGGGAGCGCCGCCTTCCCTCAGAGGCGTCCAGTGGTGGCTGATGATGAGGAAGGAGCGCCCGGGAGGAGCTGGTGTGGGCCTGGTGGGCAGCAGCGCAGTCTGGTGTTGGTGTCAAGTAGAAATGGCGGCACATGTTGGATTCCAAGTGTGATACCTTATCCTGTGCCTCACGATCCCTGCCCTGGCCCCAGGACAAGACAGCCATCCTTTGCCCAATAGCAAGAGGTGGAGGCAATGGCGCCTGGCTCTTTCCTGCTAAAGAGGTAACAGTGCCTGGCTTCATGAGGCAGTGTCCAGCCCAGGGGCAGCACCAGACACAGGAAAAGGAGACAACACGTCACACCCTCATTCTCTCCCTTTCCTTCCGGGAGCAGGATGTGTTTGCGCAGGCACCTCTGGGGGCTCCTTCCTCTGTGGTCATAGCAGCTCGGATGTCAGAGCCCTTTGGCTGGGCACAGATCCATGGTCAGCAGCGTCACTCCTGCCCTGAGCAGCTTCGAGCTACACTGGCTGAGTATGGGGACACTCGGTGGTGATGGCAGCAGCGGGCTGGCTCCTGCTTCTCCTGCAAACCCCAGCACCACTGGGGATGAGGAAAGGACAAAAGTGACCCCCTAAAACCTTCAAGTTACTACCTAAAGACTGGAGCTGCAGTTCTCTCTCTGCTAAGAGGCTTGGGTTAGTAAAGAACTGCCACTAGAAGGCACCCTGTGCACCCCTGAGCCAACTGTGACCCAGCCTGGCACCCCAGATTAACCCTTCATCCCCTCTTGGGGCTTTAGGTTGTTTTCCCATTGTCTGTTCCCCTTTCTGTGAGACCTAAGCACCTCACAGTTGTGCTGGGGACCACATCTAACACATCGCAGAAGATGCCAGTGAGACGTGAACTGCAGCACTTTCAGCTTGGGAAACAGGCACTACAGAGCTAGAGGCAGGAATGAGAAGTGCACGTTTGAAATGAAGATTTCAGATGCTTGGCTGACTTTAATTAGAAATCGGGATATAGAGGTTGACATATATGTTATCCCAATGGATGTAAAGGCTTAAGGATCTGAAGGTGTGACTTTTCAGGCAGAACTGCGCGCTAAACCAGGCAGCATGCCCGAGCATTGAGACAGCCCTGTGAGGGCTTCCGGACTGCTGCTGGTGCTCATTTAATTTATAAAGTATATATAAAATACATACTATTATATATAATACAATATATAATGCTATAATAATGTATAATATGTATGTTTATATATTAACTTGAATTTAGGCACATTCCCTGCAGGTATTACCCTGCTCACACTGAGCCACTGGGAAGAGGCAATGAAAGGGACCTTGGAGGCAGTAGCAGTTGCAGCAGGAAGCAGAGGCAGTTAACTCCTAGCCAGTATAAATCCAAGAGATGTGAGTCCATCCCTCACTGACATCCCAAGCACTGTCTGCTTTGCTTTGCAGCATGAGAAGTTGTAGCACTAGGCATGAGGGAGCCATTTCCCTCAGCCCTTCACACCAACCCACTTTTCAAACAGGACTTCTACACGAAAGGTGAAATGAGAATACTTGGTGTGAATTAAGGGCCTTTCTTGGAGCACAACTATAAAACCGGAAAAGCACAACTTGGTGCAGGCTGAGAACTGGGATGTGGTTAAAAAGCAACACTTGAGGGCAGCACAGCCCTGTTGAACGATGGTTGCTGCTCACGGAGCTGGTTCCTCGTGAAGGGTGGACCAGTCACCGACCTCACAAGCAGAAGATGCGGTTTTACTAGACATGTTCGAGAGGAACGTCAGGTGTGAAGCCAGCCGAGAGGAGTCACCAGACTGAAGGTACCAGTTGGCAATAAAGGCCGCAGTTTGTTGTTGAACAACAAAAGGTCTCTACAGTTTTCTTGCTGTTTAGCACTGGATCAGAAGCAACACAAAACACTTGTAGGTCTGAGGTGCCAGCATCCATCACAAACCAGCACGAATATGGAGGATATTTCCCAGAAGAGCTAGATGATGGTTTTTGCTCCCAAACGATTGTGCCTCTCACACAGAGCATGCCAGAGCAGGGGCACAGCAAACGATGCAGTCACTAGTGGTCACATGAGACCATTCCTTATTCTCCAAAGCAGCTGATTAAAACCAGGAGGGAAATGTCTCTGCTGATGCTCCATCACTGGTTTTGTGCCATTTAAAGAAGCAGGAAGCTGGATGCTGTGAGGCATCTTTTAATTGCCAATAGTTCTTGAAATTAGCACTGATGATGGTGCCTATATTTACAGGGACCTGCTCAGTAGTTATACAGACACTGACCTCTCAGCCCCAAACCCAGCAGTAAAATGGAAGCAGAGGAGCTCTCCTTTCTAGTCTTTGTGATCCAGAGTCACAAAGGGACTTCTTAGAGGTGCTGCTCTGCTTTCAGCAGCCTCCTGCACAATGTGTTCACCCTCCCAAAGGATGCTCATGTGTTGACACCAGGCTCGTGATGAGTGCCCAGTGCTCCTGCCTCCCACCATGGCTGTGTGGGATGGAAATGGCTCCTGAGCCAAAAGCATTTCCCATCCTCAACCTAACAAGGGCATGGCAGCTTTGAGCTCCATCCCTGTCTTTTACATGGAACTGAGAGTCCATCTAGCTTGAGTCAGCCTGAAAATTTCTGGGTCTTCCAGTGCAGTGATAATACACACATCTTTCCAGAGAGAGAGTTCAGAGGGATTTTTGGCAGTAAGGGGGGTGCAAACTCCATAATTCCTAAATTCACCATTCAAAAACCACAAATTCAGACCATTTTTTCTCCATCTTCCCCATCTGCCTGACCCAGACAATTGCTGTATTTGTGCATATGGCAGGTCAGGCTGCACTTCTGGCTTCTCATCCCAGGGAAAGGGGAAGACATACAAGTGCAGGAGTAAAGACACTCTTGTAACAGGCACACGTATGTCGTGCAGAACTGGTCACTTTGTCTTTCATGGTAAAAGCCCAAGCGGCTGCTCTGCAGTGGGGCTTGGAGACAACACACGTATCAGCCACTCTGAGGTTAAAAAATAAGGCTCTTTGCTGTGTAGAGCAGGATGGATTGCTACGGGCAGTTCATAGTGATTTCTTATGCCCAAAAGGAGCAAAGAGCAAAGCATGCTTCAGAAAGGATGCCTAGGGCTGGTCCTTTGGTTGCAAATGAGCAGGAGCTGGGCTTTACATCCGAATGGTACTAACAAAGCCTGGTGGAAGAACAGCAAAGACGTGAGGAAAGGGTGTGAGAAGCCTTGTCCTTGGCACCCCAGCTGAGCCCTGGCTGCAGGGAGGGTGCAGCCATGCTGTGCCTCACTCTGTGCCTCGCTCACCCGGACATCCACTGAGAACTTGACCGTGGACCTGCCTGTTACTGGGTGATGGACCTCGGACCTGCTCAGCTCACCTGACTGAGCTGTGGTGGCATTGCTGCTCCCTGCCTTTGGCTGGGGTGTGGGTCTGCTGCTCCCTGGTGCTTCTCCTTCATCCTGAGGGAAGGGAAGAGCTACACAGGCTCTGGAGCAGTGCTGGAGGAAGATGTTGCAAGACCACGCTGCTGCTTCTGGCTGTTCCTGTGTTCTGAGCTCAGCCCTGATGCCACACGTTTATCCTGAGTCTCAGGAGGTACCCACAGCGTTAGCTCTGTGCCCTTGGAACACTGCTCCGAAACAGGATGTGGGGATCAGGACCATGCCCTGTCCCCTCAGGAGCATCACTCTGCTCCCTGCACCCCGGGGTATGTGTCTTCTACCAGGAGCAGGAGGTCCCTCCCCTGCAGCAGCAGTTTTCCC